GGATTTTTTTCTTGATCCCTTAATTTTTTTAGTAGTGTATCATTCTCGGATAATTTTTGAACACACGAATATAACATTAAGCTGGCTATCTTCAGGTAGAATCCGATATTCAATGCTGGTATCTACTATCCTTTGTCACCGAGAGAAAATTTATGAACAGAAGTGGCATCAGCTACTTCGGAAGTTCGAGATTCCAACAGAAACAACAACCCTGCGACTCGAACTCGAATCGCCGGGGGCGGGATTGGCTGTTTGCCAATTCTGTCTCCGCGTAGAACGGATACACACCTAAATCTCTTTTTGGACAAAACAACCACGGCTTTGCCGGTGCAAAGTTGGCAAATTGGCGACAGGACGTTCAAACGGCAAAACAAGGGACACAAAGAGATGAGGATAGGATATTTTCAGCCAGCGAGCGGTTGCATTTCCTGTGGATAGCTCTTTGATGAAAGTGTAAGTCGAAATCCTGATGGCAGACTGGAAAATTTTCAAAGGAACGATAGTTAGAACGACATGTATTTCTGGTGCCTAAAGTAGTTTAAAAAATAACATGAGCACTAGGAATCAACCGATACAAATATCGGCACATCAGTATCCCTCCAATTTACCAATATATAATTGGTCAGTATCCGATATGTCTGCCAATGTGCCGATAAAATTATAATGTTAAAAACGTTTAATATCAGTGGATTGAAGCGGGGTGGGGTTGTAGGGGGTGGGGTGGATTTATCTCAATTTTTTGATGTTAGTACATGTATTCGCTTCCAGCCCTGGTAATTCTACGCACCTATTAGACATATTTCACACATCATATACTTCTCCGTAAATTAGTCCTTAGAACTTGTAAGAAAAATATTCTCATCAGACGAATCGCGTACCTACTGGCAGGGGCTTCTGCTCCCGACCGCGTGCCACCGGCCTTGGTAAGGGTTCTGGTATGATATTCACGTATTTATTAATAATGTCTAAGGACTAGTTGCGTGGGAAGTGCAGAGCCAACCTACTTGACGCCATTTGTTTGTTACGTGAATAATAAACTGAAACTTTACTCCACTTCCAGTCTTCAGTTTTTCCTTTATCGTTTATTAATGGTTGCACTTTGGTGTACTCGTCCGTGTGGTAGTATTTAGAAAGATGATACTTCATATTACTTTATGTATTCGCTATGGTTCCCCAAAGAAAAATAGTTTGCATAGGTCACGAAGGGCGCTATCGATGTCGTCAGTCTCTTGATCAGTAACGTTGTCGAAATATTCACAACGGAGAAATTTATAGATCGCAAAGTTGTCAAATAGGTGACGACTATGGACTGACCTGAGCCATTTAAGTTTTGTAGTAGTTTGAATCACGCCCGCTCACTACATTTTATATTTTTATGATTATTCAATTCTTAATACATATATTCCACTATACTATTTTTTATCATTAAAGTGAAATATCCACCTGGTTCGGCTGGCTCGCTGCGAGTGTGTGTTCACGGGCATCAGGCATGCAGACTAACTACCATTATCGTTAAATTAATGTGTACAATATATATCTATATGCGTATTACAGCATACCTGGCTGGCATGTTAAGGTCACTGTCTGAGAGTTCAAGCCGATCTTTGTAGTAGTAGTAGTCGTTCGTTGTGTTGGTATTGTAAAATAGTTTTATTGATTCGTCATCGAGTTTTATTATCTTTTAAGAGCATATAATTAGCGACCAAATAGGGCTTAGAGGCAACAAAAAGGTGTAATTCTAAAGTTTCATATGAACAAGGAACAATAAATAAAATCCCCTATGTTTGTCTGGAAAATCAAACCACATTCTTATGTTTACGTGTTCTCTCTTTATTATACAATAAGTCATTTCTCTTTATTATACAAGAAATTTCAAACGTATGTGGTTTGATTGACCATACAAACAAAAGGAGGATGATTAACCTGAAAACCACAGGATACATTTCAAACATTACATTAACAATAAATACGTTTTATCTTGCGCATAGCCGCTCATTGGGGGGTGGGGGGCAAAATTATACTGCTTCTTTCCAAGATAATCTGGTAACAAAGCACTTTTATTTCTGGCAAAACTGTATATGGAAATTTTAGGAAAGTATATGGAACGGAGGTCGAACAGATTTTCTGTGAAAAAGTTGATATTCCATTCTAGAAATGTAATTAACCATAATCTACGTCCTACTCCTCATTAAGGAATAAACACAAAATGAACTTACCCGATGACTTAAAAATTATTGAGAGTCAAAAATCATTTATAAAAAATAACGACTACTTAACTCTTCAATGTCATTAGTGCTCCTAGGCAGTATGTGTGACAGTGCTTTGTGGAAGACAAAAATGAGGGGTGCGCACGTTCCTAAAATAAATTATGTTATGTATTGCTCCTCTTGTTGCAACTAAAAATGTTCAAATGTTCAACAGGTAAGTGTCTCTTTTGATCGATTACTCGATACACGAGCTGACTGATCGAGTCGAATGCTTAGATTTTAATATGTGTTAATAATGATTCGCCACAGGTGCGCTTTTCCATTGCGTCCAGAGGGCCAGGTGAATCAAAATCAGATTGTTTGTATGCACAAGCGCGCTGCGATGGCGTCGCCTGGTTGGTTGCACAGGGCAGTGCGAATGTGCTTGTACAGGGCGGTGCGAGTCGTTGTACCAGGGTGATGGGAGTCGTTTCGGGATAGTAGCTCTAACCTTAAGGTATATTGTAGAAGGTTAATCACATTCAGGAAGGAAGAAATTTAGAATGATTATATTGACGAATAAATACTTACCATATTTTAACATAAAAGTAACAGCTGAAAATTTCAAAATGGCAGCTGGATGCCATCTTGTAGTATTTTTTTAAATGGAATGAGAGGTCATGTGATACTTTATTTTGAAGACTTGAACATAAAATCACTATCCTTCAAACTGGCGCGCTGGCAAGCTGTCATATTTGAGCCTTTTTGTATATTGGAACGCTTATAAGTCAACAGCCAAACCTCAAAATGTTATAGCAAGTTATATCAACCCTCTTTTGGATGAGTCTATCTGAGTGTGTAATAGAATATGGGACATACTGTTTAAAAAAATTGACGATTTTGAGAATTTTTTTAATGAAATGTTCCATATGTTTACTACATATTCCAATAGCTCTTTCAAGAAAGAAGATTGTCATACCATAGGATAGTGTTTGCTGATTGGATGAGTTATGAACCTCTCAATGTACATAAAGGCTCAATTTTGACAGCATGCCAAATCGGTATTTTGAAAGACAGTGATTTTAGATTCTATATACATATCATTACCCCGGATTTCAACTTTCTAACTTGGCCAGTTCAAAAAGGGGGAACGCTGTATAACTGACTGATTTATATTTCTTTTATATGTTCTTCATTTGTCTATTTTCCCTGAAAGGGATGAGATATGTGTACCTACTAACTGACGAGATAAAAGTAGAACGATCGGGGCATTTTGCGATGACCTTGTACCGAATATTTACGTCAATTTCACGCTTTTGAGTGCAAAAAAGGAATGATAGTCGTTGTATTACAAAGAAAACCTTCATGAATACGGAAAGCGTTGGTAAGTAAAAAAAATTAATTGCAGTATATTTACGTATTCGTTCGAAGTAACAAATCTCATCGTTACACTTAAAAAGTTTACTCGGATGTTTTACAGTTTAGTAAAATTTAATAACGTTTGAAATAATGATTATATGTAATAGAGTCAAAAAACCTGATTCGGTTCATATGTTTTCCTTTATTTTGCTGGAAATAAGTTTAAATTATGCTGAACGTATCCTACCTATATATAGTGAACCTAGGGCTGCTACCCGGCCGAGGTTCCCCGGATCTGTTGCAATTTAAAGGGCGTTCGTGAGCCATTCGGGGATCCCGAGGACACTTTTTGTGTGTGGGGAATCTTGTGAAGTGTAAGACCCAATATTACAAAAATGTTTTCTTGTACATCCCAGTGCAAGGGTCCGCATCGTAAAATTTTGTCCTCCAACACAAACATGAATTTAGGAATCGACTTTAAAAACAGGTTTTTTAATCTCATAGATGGCACTAGGATCTCCAATCCCTTTTTTCACCTCTATAATAGTTAAACCTATTTTAATAGGCTGTCTTCAGGTAGAATATGTAAATCAATGCGGACTAGGCAGTTCTGGTGTGGGAGTATACTGGTTTAGGTAATGTTTTTCGTCATGGCAACAAAATGCTAACACGTGTTAAGACAGAATTGTATGTTTTGAAGTTTAAAACTCTAAACTTATTACTCTTTATAATCGTTAAGTTTGCAAATATATTACAATTGTTCGCACTATTTTTTTGTTTATTTCTATTAGTTTAACTAAAGTATATTTATTTTTATGGTTTTACAAGACGTGCCAGAATAGAGGCCTCCGCGGAACATGTTTATAAGAGCTTGTAGCATTTTTTATTGTTCTATATGCATCTGAGAGTTTGCCATCTTATTTTTGGACACCCTGCATGTGTCTGTAATTAACAAGCCATAGATAAATCCTGAAATGTACGTAAATAAATATTTATTACGCATTATAATAACGACTCGAACACACACGTATATCATCTTTAAATACAAATAAAGACAGATTTAACAACATAATCACACTATAATGTTGCAAGTAATACAACGAAAATACGTAAAAATAAAATGTCAACTGTCTCTCAAAAACGTTGTAGCACAAATTTTGCATGTAATACAACGTAAAAATCTCAAAATATAACGTCACTGTATCTCAAAAGCTTTATACATTGGCAAAACACTGCAGAAGTACAAAGAAAGAACTAAACCAAGACTGAACCCTTTAGGCAAGCCTCAAGCGCACGTCCATGTCCGCACATCTGCGAGTCTCCGAGATGTACAGCTTCCGATCAACTAACGTCGTCGCGAAACAAATAAACATGAAAAAAACACCGAACCGGCTGAACTGCTGCATCTCTCACATGAAGCAAAGCATTCACATTTACATTCATCACTGAACTTACCGGATAATACATCCCCTGCGGAGGAAGGAAAAAAGCCCCTGCGCCCCACAGCTTGCTAGATTCCACAGAACGGGTTCACAGACAAAACACTGCACTCAGGCAAACAACAGTTTTAAATGGCGTAGAATCAACGCGACGTCTCACTAGCAGTTGGCCATAATCGTACGATTGTTTAGCGTTCTCGCATTTACAAACATCGGTTACTGGGATTTTCTAGGGAGAACAACGCCCGATCGACACGAGAAAATGTGCACTTGTAGCCGACTTGATCAGGATCGGAAAGCCTGATGAACAACTACCCTAGCGCGGCTAGCGGCGAAAAGCGAGGTTGGATGCGACGTTGCCAAGCTTACGATTTCAAAATACAATAAACTCCCATCGTTTTCAAATAGAGGATGTCCCAGAATAACGTCAATCTCTCGCATATATAACGCCGAAAAATTTTTGAACTGTCTAAGGCCCGTATCGTCAGTCGTCCCTACAATTGTAGGGCGCCTTTATGGCCTCCTTGATTGTCATAGTTTTCTACTTCTCCGTGTCAGAACTCTATTCTGAGGCTATGTCACAAACATCTATTTGGATCAAATTGTGCTTGCTTCTGAGTTATATCATGTTTTATCAGCCTGAAATTTCCTACAATTTAAAAAGAAAACATATCTTCACAATAGGCTAGCGCTGACGCTGACACGGGACAAGTGTAATCTAGAAATTTTTGAAGTAGAGAAAGGAGTATGACAATCAAGGAGGTCATAAACGCGCCCTACAATTGTAGGGACGACTGACGATACGGGCCTAAGGTTAGTAGAACTGGGAAAAGCCTCTCCATATAGATTGTTCCAGCATCTCGATACCCTGTGGAGAAACGAGCAGTAATATCGGCTAGTTCTGAATGTACGAAGTTCAACACGGTTAGGATAGGAGGCTCAAGTCAGGCGCGTCTATCTGGCACGCACATCTCGCGGCGGCATAAAGATGGAGAGCCCAGAGTATCAAAGCCCAAAGAGTTATCGATTAGTCGGACAGCCCTCCTCTGAACAGCATCAAGCATTGATAATGTAGTAAGAGCAGCAGCAGGCCAAACATGTGACCAGTTACGAGGCTAAGTCTTATCTGGGCCTTGTACAGAGTGAGGAGGTCATGTGGAGAAAAGTACTTCCCAGACCTAAATAAAATAACAATGACAATATATTTCACATGTATGTCTTCCTGATAACAGGTCATTTGTTAGTAAAAGTACTCTGATTTGAGATCTGGAAGTTATCACTGCTTGGGGACGCAACAATCTGGTACATATTAATGCTTCCAGAACACAGTACTGTACCGTGGCTTACACGGAACGCAGATGCCAATGACAATATATTTATTTGTAGATGTCTTCCAGATAACAGTTCATTAGTTAGTATTATAGCGCCCCCGTAGCTGGGCCTCTGAGCAACAATGACTCAACGTCATAAAATCGACGGTTAGGCAACAAATTATGCGAACACGCATCGAGAAGTTTCGCTCCTCATCAGAAAATATCGCCAACCATCTAGATCTAGACTACTCCTAAGAAGGTTCGAGTTTGCTATAGAAAGCGCAGGCTTCTGGATTGGTCGATTGAAGACAAATAATTTGTAATAAATCAGTTCAAGTGTTGTAACAAGCTAGTGTGAAAGTAATAAATTGGACTTTAGATATGAAATAGTGTTTTCGTTACAGTAGCAGTACCCTGACGGGAGATCTGGGTTCAAGGTGTTTTAAGCTCCTTATAACAGTCGCGCTGCGTCGGTAGGTTTCTACGCGGCAGAATTAGTATAAAAAGTGGAATGTTTTGAATCCCATGTTTTCCACGTCAGTGAATTTTGGATGGTGTACCTAACTTTATACGGCTTATGCCATTTTGAAGAAAAAAATATTAGAATAAGCCTCTTTTGAGAACGTGGTTATTCATATATATAAAATTGTAAATAGCTTATTCGGGAAGCTATTCCATCAAGCTCTTCAAGGGATTTCAGCAGCACAGCGTCAAAATATTGGTGACTCATCCATGGACGCTTGCAGGAACTTTTATCATGGGGGATAAGACATCGCCAAAAGGCAACTTTTTGTATATTGTGATTATATATCGGGGGAGGGTTGTAATCTGATGCAAAAAAGTATGCAAATTTCAGGAGGCAGCATGATTCTTAAGGAGACCATAGCCATGCGCCCATCTGCAGGCGCTCATGGACTTATAGCATTTAAAAATTCACATTAGATTTTACCACCATGCTATGGGTTGTAATAAATCCAATGACAACAAAGTTATGTGCGAAAACTAGACAATTTTATAACGTCTTCAAACACGTTTATACATACTTTTCCAGTTCTCATAAAAATCGCAAAAATATCATAAGATCGTTGGATGGCGCTGACAAGCATGCGATTCGGAGGAAAGTGCACGAGTTCTTCTTCAGAAAGAAATACCGACAGTCGATAAAGTACTACGGGAGGTTAACGAGGATGCTATGTTACCAAATTTCAAACGTTCGACTATCCATAAGCTTTTGAAGCATCTTAATTTCGAATGGAAGAAACGAGGTCGTAACAGCTTACTTATGGATAGAGAAAAAAATGTTCTGTGGAGAGTACCTGACCAAAATTAAATCATTCAGGGATCAGCACAGGAAGATCTATTACCTGGACGAAACCTTGATTAACGCTACTCACACTACTCCGAAGGTATGGGTTGACAAAACTGTGACATCCAGAAGGGATTTCTAGATGGACTGTCAACGGGATTGAAAAATCCAGCAGGTAAATAGATCGAAGTAGTTCAAGGTATCAATTTTTGCGCACAATATCTCTCTATCTTCGTACCTACAAGACGTGCATGTGTACTTAGCGGATGTTATCTTTCTAGGCAAAGGAAAAAGGCTGATTATTTGCCACATTGGGGCTGTAGATGGCTTCATGGATGACGGCTTATGGTCTTTTGAGTCAAAAAAAACCATTTACTACCATGAAGAGATGAATGGGGAAGTATTCGAGAAGTGGTTTTCAGGCATTTTACCACATCTCGAAGACAATTCTGTGGTTGTTTTGGATAATGCTCCCTATCATTCTCGCAAAATAGAAAAAATCCCAACTTCAGCTTCTAGGAAATCAGACATTCAGAGCTGGCTCCGTTCCAAAAATATAACTTTCGACCCTTCCTTACTGAAATTATTACTATTAGATATTGTGAAACAACACAGACCAAGACATGATAAATATGTCATAGATGAAATGGCCAAAGCACACCACAAAACAGTACTCCGTTTGCCGCCTTACCACTGTGAGCTCAACCCCATTGAGCTCATATGGGCAGATGTTAAGAATTTTGTTGCTGCACACAATACAACATTTAAATTTTCTGACATGCAGAATTGCTATACAGAGGGTCACACCAGAAAGATGGCAAAAATGTTTGCAACATGTTCAGGAGAAGGTGGAGGTAGCAATGTGGGAGCTGGACAACATAATTGAGAGAGATTTTGAATCCATCATCATAAACATTAATGACGATAGCTCTTCAAGTGAGTCTGAGTAAGTTTCGCGTTTTTGCTTTGTCACAGAATACATATTATGGGAATCATAGTTATAGTGAAATATTAACTTACATATAAACTACAGACAATGCAAGTCCGAAGTGCACCTTCAACATCTATTTTCAATTGATTGAACAGCCTTATATTTATTCCATGTACAAAAGTGTCATCTCTACCCCTCGTTGAGTACGGATTCATTGTGCATACTGAGCAGCTGGTTACCTCTGGTATGTATTTCTCCATGTTGTCTAGTTTGAAAAATCTGTAGAAAAACTTAGCACCCCTTCAAGAATAAAAATTTGATTTTGCGACACCCTTAACTATAACTACTTCACTGTATTATATAATTTCGTTAAATACTGTCATCTTTGTTTTACAACACGTTGGTGGTAGTCCATCATTCGGAGGTAGCCCTGAATGCGGCCCTGTACCCCGTCCTTGCTTTTGGCAATCACGCATCCATTCTATCTTGGGTGTAAATACACTATAGGTAAAAATTCTGGAAAGCAGCATGTTGATTCCAAGTAACTCAGGGAAATATTGCAGGGCACGGCAACGTCGTTTGCGAGAGCCAAAGCGTGAGAGAGATGGTGGGAGATTTCATGAAGCAGCGTGCCTTGAGGTGTGTGGGGATTGGTGGGGTACGATCAATGAACGGATGGGTCTGACGGGGCTATGGCATGCTATGCTATGGTATGAGCTTGTGCTCTGGGGACCGCCCGTGGGGAGCTTGGGACTTGCAGGCCCAGCGACTGAGGCATGACGAAGAGACGAGGGCTGCGCGCTGATCAGACGAAAAAGGGGAATGGTCGTTTGGACTGATAGTCTGATACTTCAAACTGAATGTGCCAGTGGCCAAACACAGCGTAGACAAAAATGGAATTTAACCAGAAATTACAAATTTTGCGTTCAAGATAACTAATGGTATGGTAGGTTAAGACAGGATGTTTCAAATTCGACTCTCACTATTGGGATTTCAAACGGTAAAAGATACAAAGTCGATAAGATGGGATCAAAGCTGCGCATTTAGGTGACTAAGAAAATGGCATTCGGATAATTCACCATTCCGATTATTTAAGGAGATAGACGAAATCAACCGAATTTTCCGGAATTCGTTTTTTTTTGTCTGACTGTTTGAGACGGGATTTCAAAATAAAAACATATTTAAACGCTGCTACTTATTCTCTTCTACAAGGGGGTATTATTAGAATTCCAATTTGTTTCGTCTCTCTTGCCCTCAATCATCAACTTAATTTTGTTCTCATAGACGCTGTAACGGTTTCACCGTCCGATCGTATTTATTAAATCACTTCTCGATTATCATTTCATTAATCCCATCTCTAGCTTTTTTACTTGGAAAATTGTCCGCTTGGACCGCTTGATGCGGAGTTCCTGATCTGCGATCTTCCTCGCGCTTTTTTTTCACTTGAGCCGCCGATCGAACAAGAGCTAAGAATTTTCTTCTCTGTAGCACAAGGTCATATAGCACCATGTGCTAGAATTTTGTAGAATGTGTGTCCGTATAGGACAAAATGATTGGGGCCACCCCCTTTCTCTTTCCCTTTCTCTTTCCCTTTCCTTTTGCCTTTGTCTTTGACTTTGCTTTTGCCTTAGTCTTTGACTTTGCGTTGCTTGGCCTATCACTTCACCCATGCATGTGCCTTGGCAGCGCCATCGCCTTTAAGTTCAACTTCGCCTACAACTGGTTTTGAAGCCACTATATGTGAGGTCACCCC